ATATGTATTTATTATGAGTTCTTTTTTGTATAGAATCTTGATATTATATATTATAAATATTTTATATATTAAATATTTAGATATACTTTTATTATTTTATGTATATACTTTGTAAAATGAGGCAATATTTTTTTTTTTTTGAAGAGAACATATGGAATCGCCTTCGAAATAATTGAAGTGTGATTCTAAAGGTTGTTCGCACTAACGGATATCCTTCATTGTACTCAAATAAATTTTAATAATTTTTTATTTTTTTATTTTTTTATTTTTTATATATATTAAATATTAAATCATGTATTCTGAACAAGGGTGGTCCAGGAAATAACCTCATAAATAGTTGGAGTGTAATTCCGTAAGACTAATGAATGAAAAACATTCTCGTTAACTTTTGAACTGAAGCATAAAATATTACTTTGAACATAACATACATACACATATATATCACTTAATTTTCTTTTTGATTAATGTAAAGTGATTACAATATAACTTAATTTTTTATATTGTATATTTATTTCACTCATTGCATAAATTCCATTTATTCTTGCATTCGTAGCATTTATTAGTCGAGCATTTTTAGGTTATATTAAAATTTAAAGTGACGTTATTTTAATATGAAAATTAACAAAATAGTATTCTAAACAATTGAATAGTGATCTTCGTTTATTTTTTAAAAGTAAAAGGACAATCTTTGTTGTTGGAAGTAATCGAATTTAGGATCTCTAAGGATAACAACTATTTTTTTAACTACTAAGGTTGTTTGGTTCGTTCAAAATGAATTTTAACTTGTATGCCTTTGTATGAGTATTTAGTGTTGCGGAGAAAAATGCATGTTTGGTGCTATTGATATGTTAATAGGAGTTTTATGTGATATTTCATGTTAGGGGTTTAGAAAAAGTTATAGGCCTTTAGAAAGGGTTTTCATGCACCTTTAAATGATTTTTAAAAAAAATTTGGTATAAGTGGTATCGATATCTAGGGGTGTAAATGAACAGAGCGTTCGGTGAACTATTCGTGAACCGTTCGTTTATGTTCGTTTGTTAAGCTAAATAAACGAGTATGACAAAAAAATTTAATTTTATTTAATAAACGAACGAACACAAACATAGGCATGTTTAGTTCGCTTATGTTCACGAACAAGCATTGAGCTCGTTTATCAACTCGTTCATTTATGTTCATGAATAAACTCGTTACTTGGTTCTCCTTTTCTTTTTTTTTCTTTTTTTTACATTTTAAATACTAGTGAAGGTAGAGACTAAATTGAGCAAAAGGTAAATGTTCAAATTTAAACTATGAATTTGATTAGTCAATATGATTATTAATTTAGTCCTTAAGTAAGTGTTTAATGGTTTTTTAGTCAATTGAGAATCTGATTTAGTTCTAATTCGATTATGATTAAGTTTTGATTAGTCAATATGACATCTTCGGCTCGATTTTTGACTAGACCGAGTTAGGGGTGTAAAACATCTATCATAGAAAATCCTTTAAACAAATCTTCTATAACCAACTAATTTAAAGAAACTTTGAACTTCACCAACATTCTCAAGGTTTCTAATCAAGGATTGTATGAATTCTTAGGATCTTCTTTTTTTTTCTTAAGAAAACGTTGTCTGTATTTATTGGAGAACACATACAAAAATACAACCGTAAGGGCATCGTTAAGAAACCTTCTTCTTAGGATCTTCTTGGATCCTTTTAGGATACATGTCTCAAAAACAAAAGTTTGAATAACTAGAATTCATATTTACTAAGTTTAGCGAACAATTACTTATCACGAAGAGTCGTGAGAACTATTAAGAGATGCTTATCACAACCACCCTCGATTTTGCACTGCAAGAGGATATCATCAATGAAATCAACAAGAATTGATCAAAATAAAGTTAGAACATGATTATTAATTCATCAATTCATAAAGACAATTGAATAAACGACATAACTAAGAACTCATAATACACATAGTGAATCTTATATGTAGTTTCAAGATGTTTAACTCTTTTAATTCACTGATGATAACCAGATCGAAGATAAATCTTAAAATTTCGAATAACTCTTCAATTAATTAAACAAATCATCAATTCTTGATAACATATACCTTTGGAGTGACTAAAATTGTCAGATTGAACATAAACCTCTCTAATTATTTATTTTATTCCTTAATGATATGATAAATTATGGTTAATCTATAGTTCATATGACTCATATACTGACGATGTATTAATCCCATATAATATCTACCTTGTCCTAATACAAATAAAAATCATGTAATTTCGACAGGAAATATGATTTGATAAATCATAATTTGCTCATACCAAAATTTATACGATATAAAATAAAAAAACTGAAACATCAAATAAAATCAGATTTTTTTTGTTACTCTCCCGGTTTAAGGCTTCATCTTGACTAATCCGGACTGACCCGTCACCATATGGTTTTGATGAGTGTCTCCCAGCAGGAATTTTCTGTATATACAAGGACTGAACTTGAGACCTTGCTTAAGCGATATCAAGCTGCATGCCACTTAAATCAACCTCTATTGGTCAAAATCAAATCTTTTTCTTTTTGAGTTATAATATAAAATTATTATTTATTCAGGATGTGAAATGAAAATGCTACGAAGAGCGAGAGCTCACGTATCATAACCCTAACTCGTAACAAAGCAACTTATTAATCAAAAGGACGAGCCCCCAACATAGCCGTTAGCAGCCGCAGACACAAAGGCCGGCGGTGCATTTGTTATCAGTGCAGCCATGGCATCTTTCACACAATCTGAGGGTTTTACGCACTGAACAGGTTTTGTTGCTTAATAATATCCCAAACACAGAAGTGGAAGAAGCACCACATTCACACTCACACAGACATTTAATGCAATTACTGCGGTGCATTTCCCACATGTTACCAAACAGTCCGAAATGCATTTGCATTGAGCTTCAGCTTTTCCATTCAATCTACATCATTATTGTTGTCATTAGTTTATATAATGCAAAAACAATTAATCTAGTCTCCATGATAAAGTAACACTTTGTATACAAACAATGGGAAGTAAAAGAGATTGAGAGACTTACATAATCCAATAACTAGAAGAGCTAGCAACAAGGCATCTTGAGGTTAGCAGCTCTTTCCATTTTTGCTTCAATTAGTATGATTATATGATATTTTTACCACTCTATTCAATATATATACTATTTTTTTAAAAATTATTTATGGAAAGTCACATGAATAAGGAAAGGTATACAACCAGAAACAAATTGGAAAATTATTTCCATAGATGGAGATGTATTATGTAAATCTGAATTTTGCAATTGTTGTGATCCTCCTTAATTTTATTTTTAATAGTCGTATATAGAAATTTCATTTTTTTCAATATGAAGTATTATAAGTTTAATTTCATACTTACTAATATCTTATATTACTAACTAATACACGAACCTACATGGTCACACCTTATAATTGAAGCAAAGGAAATCCAAATACAATTGGTATTGTGTTTAGCTATCACATGAACTAAATTAATTATTGATTTTATTTAATCTGACAGCTTAATATTGAACAAGTTTATGTACAAATTTGTTCTACACTCAATGAGAATGAAGCAAAGGAAATCCAAATACAATTGGTATGTGTTTAGCTATCACATGAACTAATTAATTATTGATTTTATTTAATCGGACAGCTTAATATTGAACAAGTTTATGTACAAATTTGTTCTACACTCAATGAGAATGTATTAAAAATAAAATAAATTTGAAAAAACTTAAAAATTTAACGTCAACACTTGTGTTCATTTTTAACGACGGATGACGAATATGAAACCAAAACGTAATGTTAGGTATAATTTAAAGAAATATTGAGTGATCAAAACAGAATAAAGGTAATAGTTGGGTACTGATTGTATAGTTTAGCTAATTGTTATTATCACTTTATTGATTATAATTGATTAACTTTATATATATAGGTTGGAAACAAGTCACCCTGCATATCATTTAATAAAAGAATATTAATTTATGTAATTGACAATAGTCAAATGGTATTAGATGGTTCGATGTCAAATGGGCTTTAGATGGGCACAAACAACTTACCTCAATAGTTAAAAGAATCGTATTATTCTTAAAGTCATAGATTGAGCACCAGAAACTGCAAGAGTAATTAGGCGTTCATTGTCAAATGATAACAATTCCTAAAGGTCATGGGTTCGAACATCAGCAATTACAAAGATAATAGAAATTCATTGTCAAATGGTTTATAGAGTATTTAAAAAAGATTACTTTGAAATTTGTTATTATCACCGGAAACTATTAAGATAAACTATTGTGATGGTTCTATTTATGTTTGATTTGTCTTATTTTAATCATCGGTTTTGAAAAACTTATCCTTTGGTCACTTTTATTTCTAATCTATCTTACTTTGGTCATTGAGTTGTTAACTCCTGTTAGTATGATGACGTGATATGTTATTAAAAATGTTTAAATTTTAACTTCCCCCCTAATTTTAGATAGAAAACTAATTTAATCATAAAATTTTGATAAAATATTAATTTAACCCCTAAACTTTATATAAAATATAAATTTGACCTCTGAATTCAGTCAATTCTCCCGTCGTGAGTCGTTACTCATCACTATCATCACTCACCATTAGTTTTTTGTAACCCCCTAAACCCGACCTATGCATTTTGACTAAGTCTAGTGGATCACATTCATGATTCTTATAGACATTTCCGAAACCGTTATTCAATCAAAGTAAAATCACATTATAAATGATATTTATGAAATTATATTAGATTATACTATAAAAAACCAACTCATAAATATAAACTTAAAAAGTAACAATTTAATTTAAAACATGTCTTAAAATCCAAATTAAGATAAATCGAATATAAATAGTAAAAGAGTACTCCTTATAAAATTCAATACCTTAAAATAAGGCCCATGTTTCGATAGTAAAGTCAACTTGCATGATAAAATCATTACATTCAGATGTACTTCAAGAGATATGTTGATCCTCCAAGTGCTTGATATGGGGTATCTAACCAACAGTATCTAAAAGGGGAAAAACATTTTTGAAAAGTGAGCTAGGCTCAGTCTGTTCCAACAGTACAATAAAATCATAGTAGGTACAGTACACGATTTCATAATATCATCATGAAGTTTAACTTTTGTAACTTGTAGTTTAAAACCCTTTTCCTGTACACCATCCGCAATTCCCCATAACTGTGTCTGTAGGGCTACCTTAAGCACACAACAAAAAGGAAGCCAACCTAAGGATAGGCTTTGGGGCATGTATCCTTAGATCCGTACGGCTTACCCTAAGCACACAACAAAGGAAGCCAACCTAATGGAACGTCTTGGAGCCCAAGAGCCTACCCAAATGTCACATTAGGTCCATAAAGTTTACCAGCTTGATCAAAGTTGTACCTTCGTAAAGCAATCCAACCCAAAATCAGCATTTCAAAAATACAATTTATGCAGTAAGCATAATTTCCATAAATCCATAATCAATGTTATCATATAACAATGAAAACCAATAACCATATATCAGTCATATTCCATAAACCATCATTAGTAAATAGGCGAGTCAATAAAACATTAAACCATAACTTTCATTGTACCATATTTCAAAACATATAAAGCAATCAAGTAGTACATAGGGAACACACCTCGATAATAGGTTCAAATAGTAGATCTAGTGATTGTTGGCCTCGCCACGCTCTACCATAGTTTTTGAACCTAATTCATAATAAAACTATATTACTAATGGGTAATATAATTAATTTCTGAAATCATAAAATTTACGGGTCATACGGGTGAATACTGGCACGTGGTTTAATGATCTAGAGGAGCTGGGTCGAGCTGTTGAACGATCAATAGAGTCTCTTGTACCTTCAAACAATAATAATTTATCAATCCCAAGTCTTACTTAATTATTCAAAGCTAAAACTCTTAAATATATAAGCATTTTTCGGGTTTGACTATCAATTTGGAGGCTTTCAAGTCTGAATTTGACCAAACGAATTGCGAAATCGGAATCAGGACGTCGAAAAACATAAAATATGACCTTTCAAAAATTTGAATTCTTGGTCAAAGTCAAAGTCAACGGTTTGACTGGTGATTTGGAGACCTTGGAGTTCGAATTTGGCGAAACAGACTTCGGAAACGGATTCGGGACGTCGAAAAAGTCAGAATAGGTATACTCGAACAAAATCAAAGGTCGTTTAATGGCCGGTTAAAGCCAGTCAAAATTATGGTCAACGGTGCTCAATTGTTCACAGTCAACTTTTACGAAACTAACAGCTTTTTTTTTAAATATTTACGAAAATAGCATCTTTTTAAAAATAATTACGAAAATAGCACTTTTTAAAAATAATTACGAAAATAACATCTTTTTAAAAATAATTACGGAAATAGCACCTTTTTAAAAATATTTACAAAAATATCACCGGGTCGGGTCAACGGGTCAACCCGGTTCAGACCGGTTCAGACCGGTCAAGCCGGTCAACAATATCACCCATCAGTTCGCAACTCCCCCACGCACAGGGGCGGCACGTGGGGGCGCGTGAAGCCTCATCTGATCTCCAAAAATTCTAAAAATTCTTTTAAGCGATTTTGAGTCACTTACCAACCTCGGTTCAAATTTTTGAACAGTGGAGAGCTCGATTTCAACTCGGCCGAATCTTTGACTGCTCCACCTGCCACACGCGCCGCTGCCTACGGAGACAAGGAGGACACCGTCAACCTCGGAACGACACAAGGAACACGATGGTGCGGAAGGTGTCGAAAACCGATCAACGATCGGAGATGAATTTAAGATTTTCTCGCCGGTGGTGCTAATAAAACGTCGAGACTTTAACTCGAAATTCACATCGTTTGGCAGCGTTTCGCTATAATTGGTTTACTGGGTTTTGTTCACGGGTCGAAGATGAACACGATGGTGGTTTCAATTTGACGATCGGAGGTCGGACGACGTTGGGATCGGACTTGAAAGGATGGGTACGGGAGAGTAAAGTTTAAGAAATTTTAACATTTGTGTTTTCTAATTTGAAACCAGAAAACACACTTAAATCACCAAAGCTGCCAATATTTTTAGGGTAAATTCAGGGCTTGGTCCCTGAATTTCTTTTAACTCTAAAATAGGCTATAATTTTTAAAAATTTCCAATTGAATTCGCAAATTTCGCCAATTTATTTAATTAATAATTTTTCTTCAAATTTTTTGGGTTGTTACATTTTTATCAATGATCACACCAACCATCATCTTCAATGATCGTTGAACTCTAAAATTTTTAATTCACTCCATTTTAACCTCCTAAACACGAATTTAGTGTATGTTGTTTCACCGGAAAATGCACCAAACTTGATAAGCCTAGTCTAGAATCCTTCGAAATCCTTTAGAAATAAATCATAACAATAAATGTATCATTATATTCTTTTAGAAATAAGGAGACAAAAAATCTAAGTCTATATCATATATATTTGTATCACAATGATAATAATTTAATTCATATCAATTTTGATAAATTGTATATTATAATCTTTATTTGTTAGTTTATATAATTTTATATTTTGATTTTGATATTTTAATTTTGATAAAATTATAATGTATAATTTATTAAAATCTACTTACATGATTAGAATGATTGCATATAGAATTTTAGATTAAAATTGTGAGCTTATAGTAGGCGGAACTATTACGGATTTGATTTGATTCAAAATCAAAGTCTTTTTGACTTCATTAATAGAGTTATTTAAATTGCATCATCTAATTTTATTTTATTTTATTTTAAAAATATCTTCAAATTAAAATTGAAAATCTAAAATCAATTTAAAATTATGAATTTTTTATTTTAAAAAGATTGTAATATGCCCATTTTCTTATTTACTAAAAAAGAGCTTCGACCCATGTTGTAAAACCACCATTAGAGTTGAATTCCAGACTCAAACTATGGAAATAATGAAAATTAAGATAATTCAAAGGAATACCAAGGGGAAATGAAGATTAAATAAAATGATTTGTTTTAGGGTAAATTACATGTTTAGTACCTAATCTATCCGTTTTAATCCATTTTAGTACCTAAACATTCAATTTTTTCAAAATCATACTTAATGTTTAGTTTTTGTTTAATTTTAATACCCGTCGTTAAAAACTTAACAAGTTTAGTACCAAAACTATCAGTTTTCTTTTTTATTACCTAAACTTTCAAAAAAAAATCAAAACTTAAGTATGATTTAGGTACTAAAAGTGTTTTGGTACCTAAATTTTCAATTTTTTCAACACTTAAGTATTGGTACTAAATATGAAACAAAAACTAATCTTCAGGCATAATTTTGAAAAAATTGAAAGTTTAGGTACTAAAACATATCAAAATTGATAGTTTAGATACTAAATGCATAGTTTACCCTTTGTTTTATTGATGGACGTGAGACGAAAATGCTACGAGTAGCCAGAACACACAAAATACCATATCGGTAAACTCATAAGTCTAGCACTTAGCAGCCACATTCACAACGACCAGCATCGCACTTGTTTCCAAGGCATCCATGGCATTTTCCGACACAATCAGAGGGCTTTCGGCATTCAACTTGCTCCGGTTGCATCACGTCTTCTGCCCCAAATGCGGCTGCGCAACTACACCCACAACGACCGGCATCACATTTGTTTTCGACGCAATCTAACAGCTTTGAGCATTCAACTTGAGCTTCAGTTTCTTCATTCAAACCTAAATCATTTATTCCCATTAGTTTGTAATCCAAAATGAACTGCTACATTATCAAGAATGATATGAAGTTGAAGAGGTTTAAAGACTCACATGATGCAATAACCAGCAGGGATAGCAAGAAGAAATTTGCAGCAGCTCTTCCCATTTTTCTTTAATCTGTACGTAGTTGAGTATGAGAGATATATAGCGTTTAGTATATGCTTTTACCAACAACTATGGGATTACTTTTTACAAATAGTGACAAAAATGCACTGTCAACTTTCAAGTATTTTCTTTACTTTTAATAACCATTAAACAATTTAGTAATTGTTTTGATTTCAGTGGATTCTGCAAAGAAGGAAACACTCTTTTTTGTTTATCATCTCATATATGACTCTTATATTTAAGTATCTAAAACTTTTATATATATTTAAGACTTAATGCATAATTAGATCCTAAGATCATATATATATATATATAAATTCTAAATCTAATCATAATCTATGACAAAAGGGAATATGAGGGTGTCATGTACTATGTTTTAGTAGGCATCACGTATCTAATTTTTATAACGATATTAATAATGGTAAAGACTAATTTTAGAAAAATAATAATATTAGGTGCTGATTTTGTCTTATTGGCATGAACTAATTTACCTAAAGTGGTTAAAAGAATCATTTTTATTCTTAGAGGTCATGTGTTTGAGTATCAACGACTGCAAGAGGGATTGGACGTTTATTGTCAAATGGTATATAGAGTAAAGAAAATCTTTTGAGTACATTATCATTGGAAAAAAATTGCTAAATATTACAAAATTTTTGTAGCATATAAACTCTAGGCAATGGACTCTCACCGGCTAAAAGGTTCGGCTCAGGCCATGTATGGTTCCTATAAATAAATGAAGATTTTCCCAACTTTTTTTTTATCAGAAATCTGTCTTAGTATGCAACCTGGCGGTGGCGCCGAGCTCCAGTCCCTGCCGTGATGTCTTCCATAACTGGGACTCCATCCCTAACCTCCTCATCTCCATAAGCCCACGCTCAACTGCATAAAGTACAAACAATCAACATACATTAACCAGACATGGCATTACTTCAAAATTCACCATACCATATGCTTATATGTATAGGTTAACTGCTTAAGTAGTCCATGTTACCCTGATCTCGGAGATGTCGGAAATAGATATATGTTCGATCATACTTCATACTCATGCGAAGATATATATAGAGGTGAAGCGGATACATGTTCTGATTTGTCAACACGGTAGGTATATGAAGATAGTGAGAGGAACAGAGAGCATGTACCTTCGACTGCGTCCTGCGAAGTGGAGGATTGTGAACTGCGGTTGATCCACGACTGCAAACGTTCATCTGCTATATCAGGTTCCACACCATGGCTCAATGCCCTCCTCCAGAAATATGTAAGCCAAGCCTGCACAACAATTCTATAAGCAATAAGAAACAGCTCCATGAAGATTCTTGAAATGATGCTTTCCAGGGAAAATATATCACATTCAATAATGTTCTCACATTGCCAATCATTTCACAGTATGTATATAGCTTATACGACACATGTTTTCCTTTGTGAACCGCAAAATCGAAACAATTCGACGTACAGACAGCAACACATGCAAGATGCCTTATCTGTTCTGATCCTTAATCAATGCTGTTTTCAAAAGCAGAAGAGTAGTTGCAGAACAAATAACTCGATCGAACAGGACTAATGGCAGAATTTTGACCCCTGCTTACATGAGCCTTTAAAACTCCTCGATCTCAGTACAGTTTCCTCTTGTTATTTGTATAAGATTCATCAACATCAAAGTTGATTTACAATTTTGAAGTAGAAAATGAAACCTTCCTTTAACTACTAAGGGGATGAGTAGCTGAAGATTCTTGCAACTAATCACTTTCAAATTACATACAATAAACATAAGACCCAAGAGAAAACAAGGATTAGCTTGGATCCATAATGACATAATCATCTTTCTTAGATTATATTGGAGCCTTAAGATGCAAAATATTTTCTTAGTAGTGAAACATAGTATAAAGGTAACATGGTACCTGCTTAAAACTCACATCTTCAGACTCCTCTTGGCTCAATTCAAATGCCTCAAATTGACCATCCGTGGGCATTTTCACCTCGGTTTTATGCATATTCGTGCGTCGCTGTTTAGCCATTGCGAATGCAACTGCATCCTCCACCTTCAATAATTCAAGTTCCCTTAGAACTTTCTCAACTAAAAGCATGCATTCAACAATTCTCTCTTCAGATAGCTCGTTAGTGTGTTTGAGGACCTTCTGCCGTTCTTCTAAATCGTTGGCTGTTCGGTACAGATAAGGAAAGAAACATGGAGACATTTACTTTTCTCTCCACTGAGAAGAAGCAAAATTGTAGAAGGAAAACATCATTTAGAGATTCATTTCCCATCAAAAGTCAGATGGAATATTTTGGGAAGTGGATGAACTAAGCATGGATATCAAAGGAAATCTTACATGAAATATCCTCCTCTCTGGCTCTTTGTCCAGCAGCCAATACTATTTCAAAAGGAAGAGGAGCAAATGATGACCAATAGTCGTATTTCACGCAGGCTATATCGGCCTGAATACCTGCAAAACGTGATGTTCTCAAGGAATCTAAGCAACTCCATGCAAAATGTAAAAACACAGTTACAGATTTGCACATTATAGAAACTGTGTCAACTTCAACTACTACCAGGATTACTCAACCGTTATAACAGATTGCAGCATTCTATCGTTTATAGTGATTACATATAAGCAGCTGTTTATCCAATACAGCAGCATCAACTCAAAAACAATCAGGAACTTTGTGTATTGAAAGATCAACACTTTACCATGTTCCACACATAAACTCTAATAACGAGCAAGCCAGCATCTCTTTAAAACAACCTCTTCCTAAGATGAAAACTACAGATTATGTAACAATGATATAAAGGAGTAAATTGTCAGGATGATGTCTACAAGATTAAGAAAAAAGCCGACCATCTCTTCCTCAGTCAGCATCATCTGTTTAGTTACTGTTTGCAGTGCTTTGATTTCGAACTCTGCTTTACTGAGCTTCTCTAAGACACAATTTGTTTCACTTCTTTCAATCTAGGCCACAATTTAAGAGACAGAATCATGTTTAGCATGGGTACATTCCCATTGTAAAAATGGTAAAATTCGAAAGAGAAAAACCAAATATAACATCTCATGATACCTCAGCTTCTGTCTGAAGAGCAGCAATCATCTGTTTAGGTAAATGTTTAAGAATGAATAAAGCATGACTTCGGTAAATTTTTCCATGGCATTCATTTTTTTCATATCTGATTTTAGGCATGAAATAAGTGCGGTTTCACAAAGAAAGATGCAGAAATGAGCATAAATATACTTAAAATAATGTCTTCTAAGGCTCATAGCTATTGATTATCACGTAATTTTCCATGCATAATGAGGCTGATAGCACATGCAGAGTAGTTGGAGCTAAGGAAATAGTAGCAGTCATTAGAACAACAAACCTCTTTCTTCAGCTGGGCTGCTTCTTTACTGAGGAGAAAGAGAAATAGTAAGGAAAAGGAAAAATAAACTACAATATGAAACTGAATACATGTAATCCTGAAGCTTGCCTGCTCGAAAGGCTTGCTTCTAGAGTTGCACCTTCTCCGAGATCAGCAATCTATATCGGAACATGTTATGAATCAATTAACCAATACATGCCTTTGCAAAGTTCATTTACATATTGGTTGCCTAGTTGCCTTGAAAACTGTGAAAAGCTCACCTGTTTCTCCAGCAATCGAGCTCTTGCTTCTGCTTCTTCACACCTCTCCTCTGCAAGGTGAAGCTGGGAAGGCAAATATCATGATGGAGAACCAAAACAAACAGTGTACTACTATTATTAGAGTTTTACATAGGCCAAAGTGCTTGTTTTTGGGAGAAAATGGTGCTGCAACAGCAACATCCAAATGGCAGTACTAACTAAGATTATGCCAGTTTTTTGAAGATTACTGTTCCAACTTTAGAATATTGGCTCAGTGCTTGAAGATGATGGAGAGCCAAATTGATTTGCATTAGTACAATAATCCTAACAAACTTATCATAAGATCTCATTAGATTCAAAAATAGAAGAAGTTACATGATTAAGAAGAAAGAGAGTTACTGGAATCACCTTTTGAAGTAAACATTCATTTTTATCCTGTAGCATATCAAGCTGCCATGAAATTCACAACACGTTATTTAAACAAGAAAGAATGTAAACCTTTTCCTAAAGGTCTTCATTGTTTGATATCGACTATTTTTCTTTTTGGGGATAGAACACAGACTGAAATTTGAAGTGTTCGGAATAGAACTTATACTGATTTTTGAAAAATAAGATATGGTGATGTATACACCGGTTTCGAATAATTTGTTATAAATGAAAAAAAAAGTAAAAAAGCTAATGTATGCAAGAAGGGAACACATATATAGCTTAGCAAAGTATTGTACCTCATCTTGTAGAACAGAAGCGGTTGTTTTAGGTACTGTATGAAGCATCCCGACTCCAGACTGTTGGCGACCTGGACCTGTGGAACCAGGAGATACAGGTTGTTCTGAAGGACTGTCAAATGCAGATGGCCGACCAACACTTAAAGCTGCAGAACTTTGAAGGGATGATTGTCCTGCCGGAGGTGACATGGATTGCTCCACGATGTTTTGACCACTTGTAGGTTGTGTTTGATCTTGATTGACACGAACTGACTAAAAGAAAATTTGAAGTTAAAAGTAAGAATTACATTAATCAGTAATATAAGCATTAAACAAACAAACAATTCAAACAACTGAGGAAACTTAGTTAATAGACAAATTACCAAGGGAGAAGATGAGGGCCGAGCTCTTCCGCCAAGCCCAATGGTTGGTTTGCCACTCACTGAACTGTTGTCAAGGTCATCCTCATCATTGTCCTCGTAACTTGGTTGTGCTCCTACATGTTGCACAGGCCTTTGAGCCATAGGTCTGACCTGAGTTTTCAAATGGAAGCCTATATAAGAATTAATTTCTTAGTACCATAAAACTCTAGCATTCAAAACTGTAAGATAGTTTCATTACTCTCACACTGTAAGTAGTTGTTCTTGTCTCACATTAGCGTGACAAACAAGAAATTAGCAAAAGCAGATTCATAACAGGAAATCGAAAAATTACCACAGAAGTTTGCTGTGCAGTAGCTAGTGGCATCCGCTTCTGAGATAAGTTTTTAGCCTGCAAATTATACACTGTAAGTCAACTGAGAACATATTTATTGGTACAGGTTATACGCCCATTCCATTGAAACTCTCTACCCACTGTAGCTTATGCTTAAGACATTCTATCTAAATCAGGTAATCACATAGTTACCGCAGGAGAGAAAGGCCGCGCTGCCCTCCCACCGAGCCCTATTCTTGTCATGCCACTCACTAAAAGGTCATCTTCATCATCCTCATCATCAGATACTGGTATTGGTGCTCGAGTTTTAGCTAAGCTTTTTTTTCTGGATAGTACAAGATTATTCGAGGAATGAACATACTTAACTGCAATGTGAAACCAGCTACATGAACAAATTTCGGACCAGCTACATGTTCGAAAAACATTAAGATGCGTGATAAATTGATAAAAAGTGTTGTTTTAACTGTAAAATGGAATGTGTTGAACTACAACAAGAGGTTTGTGCATCTCACTTGACAAACGCATGTAGCAGGTCTTAGATAAAATCAAATTCATGTCAGATGATTACCGCAGGAGAGTTTGACATCCTTAACCTTGAAGCGGGACCTATGCTTGTTGTGTTAACTGGGGCAACCTCATCATTGTCATCATCCGATGGTTGTCGTTTCGTTACCGGTGATGGTCGCCTTTGAGGCATATTTTTGGTCTAGATTTTAAAATGCAAGTCCAGGTAAGAACATATATACTTGCAATGCCATAACTCTAGCATATGCAACCATGAACAAATTTAGTTTAGAGCAACAAAAGAGATTCAGAACTAAATAATTTCACTGGGATTACCATAGCCATAGGTGACCGCAACCGCAATTGTCTTCCACCAGCAAGCCCTATACTTGGCCTGCCACTCAGTATAACATCATCCTCATCGTTGTCGTCATCACCTTGTTGTGTTGTCTGTGGAACTCGCCTTCTAGTCTGGATATTACAAGTGAATTAAACCCAGCTGGTAAGAAGTACTATATAGGTCAGTATCGATATTTAAAGTATGGTATCGATACCAAGGGAATTATGTGGACTAATATTAGAATGAATAACGATGCATGTGTGATAAGTATAAGAACATTATGAGAAAAGATTCTATAAGGTTAGTGTCTTTGTTTGATAAAGAAACAACTAGGACACCCGAGTTATTTGTAAAGACAATTGTCAGTTATCCGGATATGCTAAGAGTCGTGTCGAGACAAAATATACTAGTAAGATGTTGATCCAATGCTCTAAACTCATCCAAATGCTCTAGAGAAATAGGCTAACTGAATGTGCATTCCAAGTAATAAGCCTTAGCATAGTCTAATAGTAGTTATTGAATACTTCTTGAACACTTCATCATTCATACTGATATCCATGTAACAATACATTACCATAGGAGAGGGAGAACGCGTAGCTCTAGCACCACCGAATCCAAGGTTTCCCGTGCTGCTAACACTACTTTGATCAAGCTGCTCATAATCATCACCATCACCTTCATCATCGTTCTGCTGATTCGACATAACGGTGGCCAGCCTCTGCGCCGCCTCTTTTGTTTGCGCTTTCCTCGGGTTCCCCGCACCTCCATAGCTTGATCCCGACTGTGTGTGGCGCTGAAGCGGGGAGGCCGATCTCAATGGTGATGATGGCGTCCCGGGAATAGCTGAGCTGCTCTGTCTTCTCTCAGATTGTAACCTCCTCCTATCCATAGTCACTGCAACAAAAAATGGGGAAAAAGAAAGAAAATCAATCAATTTCAAAAGTGACAAAAAGTATGGTTGAACTTAAATCTTACGAGGTGATGAAAAAGAATCTGGATTCCAGCAAATGGTAAGAAAAAAGGATCATTTTTGTGTGACACAAAACTGAAAATAATGAGAGATTGTGATTGGTATAGAACAGTTTACGGGGAAACATTTAAGTGAAAATTGGTAAACCAAAGGATCCGATGGTTAAGGCGGCAAAACGGGAGGTTTTAACGGTCAAATTCCGATTGTACTTATTTTCCTTTTGGAATTTAAATATTTTCTTCTACGGATCAAATAGTTAATGTCTTGTTTTATTTTCCTACCTTATATTTGATGTATTTTTTACGGGGTAAAGTACACAAATAGTCCCTTGACTTTGGGATGATATTTTGTTGAGTTCTTCGACCATTAAAAATTACAAAATGATCCATCAACTATAGTTTGATGCTTGTTAAGTATACGACTATTAAATATTACAAAATGATCCTTCGACTATAGGTTGTTGCTTTGTTAAGTCCACAACTATTAAAAGTTACAAAATGATCACTCGACTATTTAGTATGTTTCAAACTCATCCTTTTTCATTAAAAAATTTGTTAGAATTTTTTAAGCTCGATTTGAACAATCGAAAATTGCACAAGGGGGTGAATTGGCAAAAATTTGTTTAGGGAGTAAGGAGAGTAAAAGAAAAAAAAATGGCACAATGATTTATAGTGGTTTGATTTCTCAGCTAAGTCTACCTCCACTACCTCACTTGCTCACTAAGGATTTTCTAACAAATTCACTAATTTTTTCTTTCTTTTTCAAGGATAAAGAGATAACCTTTACACAACTCCCTAGCTTTTTAAAGGATTAGCTAGAACCAAAACTCCTTTATAAGGAAAAGAAATGTAAACAAATGAATCCTCTAAGAAGGAAGATGTTTACAAAATTTAGCTCACAACAAAATATTTACAATATAAAGTAAAATATGAATGAAAAATTCTTCTTTTGTGTTTAATTGCTTGGATAGGTGTTCTAACCCTTCTTCAAGTGTCTTGAACTTGTATTTATATGTTGGAATGAGTTTGTGGTCATTTCTAGCCGTTGGAAGTAATTTGGAGCCGTTAGGGATGTTTTCTCTGCAAAATAAAATTGTTCAATACATAGGGTATCGATACTCCTATAGGGAGTATCAGTACTACCTTTGTTGTTTTTAAATAACTAGTTATTACTAGTCGTTGGGCCTGAATGTATTAATACTAAGCATATAGTATCGATACTACTATGTAAAGTAGTATTGGTACCCCATTGGGTATCGGTATCATTTTTGCATTCTGTAATATGAGCAATGTTGGTAGCATCGATACTACCTAGTGAGTATTGATACTTGTCTTACCTAAGGTATTGATACCATAAGAACAATATTGATATTGTTCATGAGGTATCGATACTGTAAGAACAGTATCGATACCTCTTGTTCAGAAAAGTATTTTGTGCTCAATTCCAAGTAAAATGGACTTTGAATTATTTTTGAAAATTTTGAATAAATTCAATTCAAGTCCAAAAACATTTTTCCATAAATTGTTATATCAAAACATAGTTCAACAATCTCCCCTTTTTTATATAACAAAACATTTGAAAAATTGTTTTTGGCAAAACTCCCCCTTAATAAAATATTTAATGAAAAATATATCAGATGTTGGAAAATGTATGAAAATGTTCAGCTCCTTTAAGTGAAAAAGTTGATATTAAAAACATTTGAAAAATCAAAGCCCCTTAAAAAAGTGCATTTCAAACAAAAATTTGACTTTAAAGGCTTGGCACTTAAGCAAAATTAAATTTCAACAAAGAATAACAAACATGTTAATTGCACATGAAATTCAATATATCCAAGTCGAAAATACTTTATGCAGTACCAATTGTTGAAATTAAGTGCATATGCATAAAGTCTTCCAAAATTATTATGCATTTGAAAATTTTGATATCAATTGTTAGAGAGATATTATTTGTATTTTTAAATTGCATGCATAAAAATTTAAATTTAGGTCCAAAACTTAAAATTTTTAAAATCAAATCATTTGAAAATTGATATCAATTGTTAGAGAGATATCATTTGCATTTAAACCCAATTTTTGACCAAAATTCATTATAATGAACAAAAACAATTATTAAATCTTTAAAGTGTTCATAATAACACATTTTTAACATACATGAGATAGAAACATAAAATCATTTAAAATCAAATCTCATGCATGCTTAAACTAAATGAGTAACCAAATAATCAAAATCAAAAGCATTAAGCTTAGAGGTTACCCATTCCTTTTCAAGTGTGGCCAGAGCATTTGATTATCTCTAATTTCACCATCATTGCTCTCACACACCTACAAGAGACATTTAAGTAGATTTTGGTATCCAAATTGCTTTGGATCTTTGAACGTTAGTTTCAATGCCCCTTGTTCCCTTAGGAACTCATATTTGTCTAATTTTAAAACGTTTTACTTTCTTCAAAGAACAAATATGTTTCATGTAACCATGAAAATGGCAATGTGAGCATTTTGTCATTTTTAAACATAATGAGTTGTTTTTATAAATTAATTATTTTTCTTTTGTTAAGCTTTCAAGCTTAACTTTCAAATCATTTTTCTAAGTCATTGATTTTGACTTTTGAAAGCTCTAAATCATTTTTCAAAATTTCATTTTGTTTTTCAGAGTCAAATTTTACTTTCAAAACCAAATCATTTTCAACTTTAAGTTTTGAAATTAATTTCTATTGAAAACATTTTGATATTTCGATATAACAAATTAAGTTAAATGAATTTTAAGATTTTTCAAATGATTTTCTAAGTATGTTCGATATAACTATTCGAATATCAAAACATTACTCCAAATCTTTTAAAGATCATTTTTAATCCTTACTCAAGTGTAAAATTAAGTTTTAAATCTTAAAACAATTTCAAAATAATTTTACAAAGTATTTCGAATCATTTCAAAGCCAAAAATTCCAAATTGCTCAGAGGGAACCGATTCCCCCTGAATGGTTTGGCTCCGAGAATTCCAGTATGCTC